GCTTAGAATACCCGTGGCTAACCATTTCGAATGAAATTTAATTTTTTGAGATTCCCAAAAAAAATAAAAAAATAAAAAATTTCAAAACTTCACATAATGGCTTAGAATACCTGTGGCCATCCACTTTGAGTGAAATTTAAATTTTTTTAGGTGCCGAAAAAAAAATAAAAAATTTTAAAACTTCACAGAATGATTTAGAATACCTGTGGCCACCCACTTTGAGCGAAATTTAAATTTTTTTAGATGCAAAAAAAAATATAAAATATAAAATTTCAAAACTTCACATAATGGCTTAGAATACTTCTGGCCACTCACTTTGAGTGAAATTTAAATTTTTTAAGGTGCCCAAATGGTATTTTGATTTTTTTTTCTTTTTTAATTTTTATTTCGTCACCTAAAAAAAATTAAATTTCACTCAAAGTGGGTGGCCACAGGTATTCTAAGCCATTCTGTGAAGTTTTGAATTTTTTTACTTTTTTTATTTTTTTTCGGCACCTAAAAATATTTAAATTTCGCTCAAAGTGGATGGCAACAGGTATTCTAAGCCATTCTGTGAAGTTTTGAAGTTTTTTATTTTTTTATTTTTTTTCGGTACCTAAAAAAATTTAAATTTCGCTCAAAGTGGGTTGCCACAAGTATTCTAAGCCATTATGTGAAGTTTTGAAATTTCTGATTTTTTTATTTTTTTTGGGAATCTCAAAAATATTAAATTTCACTCGAAATGGTTGGCCACGGGTACTCTAAGCTATTCTGTGAAGTTTTAAATTTATTTTTTATTTTTTATTTTTTTTGGGCATCTATAAAAATTTAAAATTTACTCAAAAAGTGGGTGGCCACATGTATTCTAAGCAATTCTGTGAAGTTTTGAAATTTTTGATTTCTTGATTTTTTTTGAAAAAATTCAACAAATTTCCTATTTTCCCGAAATCTGAATTTTTTTTATTTTCTCGACATTTTAATGAATTTTTCTGGAATTTTTCAATTTTTTTGGATTTTTTGAATTTTTTTGAGATTTTTAGGAATTTTTCAGATTTCTAATTTTTTTTTAAGAGAAAGAGTTCTCTCAGAAATGATTCTGATTTTTGTTCAAGAAATATAAAACATACTTTTTTTGGTTCTGATTTTTGGTCCAGAATCGGTTTTTGAACAAAAAGTTATTCCAGAAATAGAAAAATGAAATTGCGTTACCAAACGGGTTTCTGATCCAAAACTATTTCTGGGAACAGAAAACTAGTTCTTGACAGAACCAGAATGGTTACCATGCGCTACCCAAATCAACCCGTTGGAGAATCTTCCCAAAAGAATATGCATAGCCGTTAGAAGAAGAACCATTATCTCCCGGTGATTTGATCTTCCATACAATCAAATCAAGATTTCTATAATTGTAGTCTTTTGTGTTTAAGGAACGATCTTGTGATTGCCAATTAGGATATCTTGAGATATCAATTTGATTGTCCTGCATAAACTTGCCAAAAATAATAATTATTGAATCTGATAACAAAGTCATTTTATCGACTAAGTCTGATGACTCAGTATTTACCTGCATTAAATAACTTAAGTGTAATTGTGGTAAAAAAAGAATTGTTTTGTCTTTCTTCAAAACTAATTAGAAATTTGTTGAACAGGATTGTTGTAGGATAAAAAAAATCCGAGTTTTAATATTGGAACGTGTGAGTGGTAATATAAAACGTTGTGTTTGTGCAATCGTCCATGTACCAATATTTGCAAATAAATAATTAAGGATAGTTACGGAAAGGAAAAAAGAAACTATAGAAATCCCTTAAATTAAGAGCTTTTGTTTAATATAATAATATTAATAATATCAAAATCCCTTAAATTAGGAAGCATAGACTAAAATCAGTATCCCAGTGAACCAACTTTCTAGAACCACCTCCATCTAGACAGCTTATAGGCTACCGTGACTCGATGAGATTAGTAAGATATTTAAGAGGTCTAGGGTTTTCATGGATGTTACACTCGTAGACAACGGTTTCATGAAAAGAATTTATGCACTCACCATTGTATGGGAAATATTTTATAACGCACAATGCATTGGACAATTTAGGGTTTGTCCAAACATTCATCTAATGCTTTGCCGTAGCCTAGTTGGGCCGTGATCCATGGGTATAAAAGTCGCGACCTTCGGCGACTCGCCCGCAAGGTATGATATAAAGGTATTTGATAATTGATACGGTAAACAAAATCAATTAATTCATAACAATGGTAGGAGGGTACAATTTTGTATTTATAGTATCAAATTATACTTTTCTGCTCTGATGATGTGATGAAGCCCGATGCCACTTATGGGCTTTGTCTGCAATGAAGCCCACTTGCCATGCCCACGTCAATTTTTCTGTTTCTTTGGTAATAATCATACTCTGCCTCTACATTATATCAACCATTCAAATTATTTACATTAGAACAAAAAAAATTACATGAAGAAGTTTGATATTAGCAGGAACATATAAGAAATACAATGTAAAAAAGTCTCACAACACGTCCTGGTCGTGTTTATCTTGACCTGGTAATGACGTCCCCATGTATATTACATACATAGCATATGCTGATTTTTTGTTTTTTTGTGGTCGGAACATATGCTAATCTTGAACTTCCCGCAAATAAGCTACCAAATCATATGCTAATCTTGACCCAATAACCTTGGCTCACAATAACAACCTCTTCACCATCATCGATAAATTGAGTTAGACATGGAAAGGAACCATCCATGTTGCCAAGTAAATCACGACTAATTAACCCAGAAAGAACCAAGATTTGCACGAAAAGAATTAGCGGCATTTTCTACACAAGTCAAAACCACCATTTGTCTCACTTTTTGCTTTTCAAATTACATAATAATTAAAACTATCAACTATTTTCTCCTTCATCAAGTGACCACTCAATTCACAAATTTATAATAACTATGTGTTGTATATCCACTCAATTAAATAATCCCTCAATTCCTCAAAAAGCCGATTCTTTTCTCTTCAAACGTCACCCGCCGGCGATCACGCACACGAGTCAACACTAGCCTATATATTAAATCAAAAGCGAATGCCGTCTCGCTTTTTTATGGTTCTAATGTTATCCCTTGAAAAAAGAAAGAAATAAGTTCCCAGAAGAAACAGGGATAAAATTGTAAACTGGAAGTTATATCTTGAGGCTTTGATTCTGTCCACTAACAAAAACTGGAGAACTCGATAGCTGCCTATGGAACAGTGACTTGCAGCAGCTAATGTCCCCCCTTCTTCACCTTTTTCCTCACAAAGGATGCGCTTGCCATGGCTTCTATGCAAAATCACAGAGGACAAGCCTCCATTTGAAGTGAGAGTTTTGCCCAAGCAACAAGGAAGAGAAAACACCCTCTCTCGGTTTTGTTCCCATATTAAGATAAAAAAAGGCCTGCAAAATTGACTTTCATTATTTGTTTTCTACTTAATCTAAATCGTGCAATTTCTGCACTTTTAACTTTTTTTTTTAAATTCGAAACCCTCCCTCCCTTGTAACATGTGCCTATTAACATGTACATTCATATACAATTTTTTGCAATTGTTTAAAAATTTGTATGCCGATCCAAAAAATTTTGGTGGGCATGCGGAAATGTATTTTTTACTTTTTGGTGAATCTTAAACGAGCGAGCTGGGCCTTCTTCTTCTTTTCCTTTTCCAACAAAGAGAAACGAATCGTGCATGCACATAGCGCGTGCTTTAAAAATGATTTAGTTTGTGAGAATCCCGATGAGTTGTGTTAAGAGGGGATGAGACGCTGGGAAGCATTAGGTGATGTGGTTATTGGAAGATATCTGGGATGTTGAAGAAGAAGACAATAGGATCTGAGATACTTGGTTGTTGAACAAATGGGAGAGAGTGTGCCAAGAGGAGGAGATGAAATATAGTTAATTGGACACTTGGGCAATCTTTTTAGGGTTAGGTAGAGGAATTGGCATGTTAGAGTTGTCATGAATGGGAGATGATGCCATTCAAGAGGAAAATAGTGCAGGATCCGTCGGTGTTGGAAGATGGAAAATCTAGCAGTCTCTTCCGAGAACTATACATATAATCCTCAACAACCTTTGTAATACAGATCAAGAGAATGGGAGAACACAATTAATGCAAAATTCCAATGCAAAAGCAAAAAGAAATTGGTGAAAAATAGATACTCACCAAGATCTAAGATAAATATGTCCCTTCAATCAAGAATTGCAGTGATCCGTTGTGTGACAGTGACAACTGTATAGTCGATGTAAGTGTCGTTCTAAGCGTTTGCTGATTCAGATTGTTGGTAACTACATGCACACGGGATTTAGACGCAAATGAGGAAGATAACAATTTTTCAATAATCAAAGTCTCGAAATTTTGTGTTCATTTCTTAATCTTTGTCGATCAACTTGTCCCCGGACGAATTGCAGTCGATTGAAGTTCAATCAAGACTCCTGCTGATCTTAACAAAAGAATTTTTTAACGTGTGTAAGTCAAGCAATCGCTTCTGAAGTTGGCTGGACGGGAGAAAAAAAGGCAAAACATGCTATTTTTCATATATCCGCGGGGATATGCTCTTCGTTCTTTTTTTAAAATTTGTCAGCAATGCATAGAGTTTATTTCAATAGAGCTAAAAGTACGCAAAACTTTACAAAGAAAGACCCGAAGCGCAGAAGCACAATGCCAATAGCACCTGAGTTTGACATGTCCTTATGCATTTAATTTATCAACCGTGCCACAGACTTTATATATTCGCGATATGAATCGCAGGACGGATTTCTCTGTCAAAACTTTCCCATTTAATAAGTCTATATGTTTGCGCTCCAACAATAAAATTTAGGCATCCGGCTAGCCAAGGATTTCAAAGTCTTCCACATGAGGAAAATTAGATCTCACTTTGTGTAAATGGATGAGATTACACTTGAATGATAAAAAGGCCAGAATAATAAGCATATAATTTGCCTCATGGCAGTTGAACAGACTTATTCATCATCTTACAGTGCAAAAAATGAACAATCGAGATTCTCAGATTTGAAAAGATATACGGGCATTCCTCCTGCACTTCTTTCTCATATTAGCTCCTTTCCTTTCAACCAATCCCCCGAGCCATTCAAATTTTCTGGATTCGAGAACAATGTATCCTAGAGAGACTCCAGCTACGATTCCACACCCATAACCCATCAATATGGCTCTCCATTCAAACCGGCCTCCATGCTCTGTATCATTTTCCTTGAGGATGGTTATCGGTGGAATTTTTCGTGAATTGTTTGCGCATGTCCCTGGCAATGGAAATCCGCATAATTTGGGATTCCCAACAAACGAGTCGCTCTTGAATGTGTTGAATTGCCTTCCTAAAGGAATAGGTCCAATGAGCTGATTCTCTGAGAGGTTCAAGAATTCAAGAGACGTCAAATCTGCTAGTTCTCGAGGAATCCTTCCGTTGAACTTGTTTGAAGAGAGGTCTAGCCAATCGAGTTCAGTCAAGTTCCCGGTAAATGGAGGGATATAGCCAGTAAGATTGTTGTGGTAAAAGTTTAGTCCTTTGAGTGACTTCAGGTTTCCTATGTCCACTGGAAGCTCCCTAACAAAATGGTTGCTCGATAAGTCGATACTCGTGAAAACAGTTAGAATTTTCACCAACTGTATCTCCAGTCCTTTTATGGTCACCGCGACTGAATCTTGATAACCATCTCCTCCCATATACTGTAGCTTGTCCCTTCCTTTATCCTGATTCATCATGGCAGTGAGCTTCATAATATATCTAACGGGTAAAGGACCGCTCAGATTGTTATTGGAGAGGTCGAAAATGCGTAAATCAGAAAATGGGCGAGCTGCTCTAGGACTACTGACGAAGCCGTGGAACATGTTGGACCTCAAAACAAGAACTTGTAACTTGGTAAGAGTTCCCAACCAATCCGGGAACGTATCCTCCACTCTATTGTTGCCAAGATTCAAAACTTCCAACTTGTCACAATGTACTAAGGACCCTGGCAATGTCCCTTCAAATCGATTTTGACTAAAGTCAATAGTCCTTAAATTGCTGCCCTTAGCAAATTTCTTAGGGATCACACCCTGAATCCTGTTCATTCGGAGGCTGAGCATTGAGAGATTTTTGCTAAATCTCATCAAGCACTCTGGCAAGGTGCCCATCAAACTATTATTGGACAAGTCAAGGACTATGAGCTCAGTGGCATTGCATATCAAAGGGGAAACCTTTCCACCAATCTTGTTGTCTGCAATGGAAAAGAATTGAGTGGCGGGTGGTGGACTTGGAAGACGACCTTCAAATGTATTGTTGGATAAATCAACCGTCCTCAGATTCAACCAATGGAGAAAATATTTCTCGGGCCATTAACCCCCTAAATTATTGTTAGATATGGAAAAAGTAGAAAGCCTGGAGGGAAGAAGTGGAGCAGTTGGAGGATCGATTTGGCCATGGAATTCATTGAACTGCAGATCGATGCTCTCCAATGAGGGGTCTTCTAGCAACCACTTGGGAAAAGTATCGTTGATTTTGTTGAAACCGACGTTTAGCACAAATAACAGTGCACAATTGTCTAAAAATCGCGGTAATGTCCCTTCAAGCTGATTGGCACTCAAGTCAAGTGCAAAGAGGTTGGTTAAATTTCCCAAACATTGTGGAATAGAGCCGGAGAGATTGTTACGAGCCAAGAGTAGAATTTCAGGGGAGCTTAATTCGCAAATGGAAGATGGAATCTCTCCGCTGAAGCCGTTTTCGCTAGCCCAAAAGAGGAGTATAGGGAGTGGTGGAATTGGAAGCGGGCCCTGGAATAAGTTGTCACTAAGGTCAACAATGGTCAACTCTTTCCAAGGAAATTGTTGTATGCCTCCCTCAATAAGGTTACTAGAAATATCAAGCTCCCGTAGTCTACCTTCTCCTACATCCCAAAACCATCTCGATATCTGACCGCCAATCTTGTTTTTGGAGAGATTTAATTTTCTTAGCTTTTTTAAAGAGTTTAGAAAAAAAGGAAACTTGGTCAAGTTGCAGGAAGGCAAGGCCAAAGTCTCAAGTTTCGGAAATGTGTCATTCGTACTGTTGTAAGCTAGATTTAACTCTACTGTAAGACGAAGGACTTGTAGATTTTTCAATGTTGAAAAAACTCCCAAGTCTAAAACACCAGTAAAGTGGTTAGAATAAAGGTCTAAATATACGAGTCGTTCAAGCTTTCCAATAAATGACGGGATATGACCACTTAATTCATTGCGGGAAAGGTCCAACCTGGTTAATTTTGTTAAGTTCGCAAGCGATGGGGGAATCAGGTATTTTGCCCGAGATGCTTGTAAACGAGAGAGTTAAGGATTCAAGAGATTTGCTCCAATTGAACTTCGGAAAAGAAACTGTGATATAAGAATTGGAATCCAAACTGAGATCAAGTAGCTTTGGCAAGCTAAAAATGTTGGGTGGAAGTTCTCCTTGTAAATTGGACATAGACACACTGAAAAACGTCAAGGAGGATGATAAATTCATGAAGGAACTAGGCGAAACAGCAGACGTGTCTATGAGATCAAGGTTAAGTTCCCTTAACTCTGTGAAATTCTGAACAAGCGTTTTAAAACCAATATTTTCTATCTTTAGATTGGGTGCCCAATCCATATTATTAAAGTTATAGTTAAAAGAGCGATCAAGTAAAACAAGTTTAGAAAGGTAAGAAATTTCAACGGGAACTAGACCTGAAAAATTGGAACGAGAGAGATTGAGGTGCCTCAGTTCAGCAAACACACTTAGTTCAAGCAAAATGGGTGAGGTACGGAAATCGTTAACGGCAAGGTTGAGGCTCTGAAGATGGCAAAGTGCAAAAAGAGTGAACTGTCAGAACGGAGGGTCCCCTGAAGACAGCTGAATGAAAGATCAAGGCCAATAACGTTACGCGTTACATTGTCGTAGGCGACACCGTCCCACGAGCAACAATCCAAGCCGTTCTTCCATGCAGTCGTCTTGGGATCACAGTGTGGGTCCATATCAGTTTGAACTGTGAGAGAATTGCTGAACTGAAGTAAGGCATCACTTTGGACAGGACCACATAATTGTGCTGTGGTGAAAGGAAGTTTTAATAACAATTGCCCAGAAAGACAAAAGAGAAAACAGAGGGACCGGTTGAATTCCATGTTTTTTGGTCGAGCACAATGCCTCTAAGACAGCGGTGCACTTAATTATAATTGTTAAGAAGTCAAAGTCTTCTTAAAACGAGATTACTGGGGTCAAAGTCTTTGGTGGGTTTATTTGGGTGTGGAAAATTTTTTAGTGCCATAGAATTTCTTCGTTGGCTCAATGCAATAAAGGAGCGTGGATGAGTTTTCATGGCATCCATTCTAGATGGGCATTGACAAATTGGTGCTAATAAGTTGGACTTTATTAATTTTTTTTACTTGCAATATCATATTGAGCATGGAACAGGTTTTTCTTACATGTACACGATGCGGAAGCCTTCTCCGCTTTTCTTGAAAGGCGTATTGATCAAGTCTGTGGAGGCATCTTTCATTTCAAAAGTATGCGTGGCTCTGGTCATTACTATTTGGTAGAAAAATTTGAATCTCTGATGCCCCTGTTTACTATTGCTGACAAGTGTGATGATAGGTACAACTCCAACATCTACTATTACCTGCAAGTTCAACAATAATTTGGGGCGGGATGATGGAATGTCTGTTGGTGTTTACGGAACATGATGTATAGGTAAAATAAAATATAAACGCAACAGAAGCAAAAAATAAAATTAAACCATACATAAATATCCAAAGGCGGTGTTCGTGCGTTTTAATAAAAAAATCAAAAGAACAAAGGGGGTTCAACGGATTACCTCTCGTAGAGTACCTAAAACGGCTTGGTTCAGATATTTTTCAGTTCGAGCCCCACCAATGTTGGACCTCTAGTCCACATACACCACAAAATCGTACGTTGAACGAAAGAAAAACTTGCAAGTAATCACCTCTATAATTGTGCTAACGATCTTGTGAAGACAATTCTCCGCACTCTTGTTATTTCGATCATGGGACCAACAAAAGAGAGAAACTTCTTACCTCCCCACACACACGTTGCACAATCATCATCCCTTTATTTTTTTTTTGGCAACCGTTGCTGATCGCCCTTTTAGTTGTTTGATCATGTGCGGCACACTGATCGCACATAAAAGGGTGATCGGGTGCTACACATGATTAGCAGCTATGGCTGATTGCACATAAAAGGGTGATCAGCAACGGTTGCCGAAAAAAAAAAGGATGATGATTGTGCATTATGTGTGTATTGCTGACCGTGTGCTGCGCATGATCAGCTGCTGACCATGTGCAGCACACAGTCAGCAACTATTGCGGACTAGGAATATCAACGGTTTGGCTCGGTTTGGTTTTCTTGAAATACCGAACCGAACCATTAGAATGCACGAATCGAACTGAACCGAACTTCGAATGAACCGGATATGAACTGAACCGAAGAACCGGTTCGGTTCAGATCGGTTTTCGGTTTTTCTTCTTTTTCTTTTTTTCTTTTATCCTCCACAGCTCACAGCCATCTGATCAGAAGTCAAAAGCTTAGTGTTGCTGCTGCTGAAGAATCCCTCGGATTGGTTTATTTTATTATGTCCCCGTGACTTTTACGGAATCAAATACTTTTAATTTTAGAAAGATACAGCAAACGTATTTCATCTTTTATATTACGTAACTCTATTTTTCAAAAATACTATATATGTACCCAAGATTTACCTCCGAAACCAACTTTACACCTTCGCGTCCATTATCTTTGTGCCCCTCTTCATTTTCTTTCAAAACAAAAATGTTCAATCCAATATCCCAAAATGTCGCCCATCCAAAACACTCAACTATGACATCTACCTCAGTGTCTTCCTATGAATTTTTCTAAGTTCTTCACCCAGAAAAGAGAGAACAGATATTTAAGAAGAACAGTTAGACCTGCATCCATTTCAACAGAAAAGGATCAACAGCCAAAACCCAAAAAGCAACCTGGAGCTCTGCTGATATTTTGAACATTAGAACAAGATCACGAGGCCAAACACACATAAACTACAGCTTGCACCCACAAATGAAATCCCATGGAGAAAGGAATAGATCAAATTCCCGAAATTCAGCTTGATAAGCAAACAAAATTAACACAAGAAACCAGATTAGCCCGACACAGTCATACGGATCATCCAATTTCAATATCAAGGCTCAGCCTCGAATCAAGATTAATAATCAACTCGACCAGGAAAAAGAATAGCCGCATGTGAAAATGCATACCAAAATCAACAAACATTGCCTAACGGAGGCAGAAACCATAAAAATGAGGATCAAGATGCACAAATTATAGTATCTAGTGCTGTTCAGAGCTAAGAAAAGAGAAGGCGGGGAAAAAGAAGAAGTATCCAACCTTTAGCTGTTGACGAGAAATTCGCAACAAGAGAGTGGAGAAGCAAATGGACAGAATTGTAAGTTTCAAATTTTTGATTAACAGCATCGAACAGTTTCACCAAGGAATCTGATAGTGTAGCAGCAGCAAGATGAGAATAAGAAACCGGTTGACCACCACATTCCAGAATCATATAATCTTCCCCGCAACCCAGTCCCCGTCGCTCACTCTCGCCCAATCGAAGAACCCTCGAATCCGTCACCCACACGCCATCGCTCGGCCTTGCCTCCGCGGCCGCGCGCAACCCATTCCCCGTCGCTCACCCTATTCTCTCGAGGAAGCGAAAAATAAAAACATTATCCGAACTGTTAGGTTCGGTTCGGTTCGGTTTTGGTTTCGATTCCGGTTCGGTTCTGACACCCCAGCGGACCATATGTGTGCACTATTATTATTATTATTTATTTTTATCTTTTATAAAACATAAGAGCGCATGACCAGCATGTGTGCAGTTTGGGCACATTAATATGTGTCCATTTCGGGCGTGCGTGTATCATATGTGCGCAAGCCCATGACCAAAAATAAAATAAAATTAAATCAATTTATTTTAATTTCAGCCGGACTCAATTCGATTGCTATGATTGCAAACATATTACATGCTTACTTTAAAGCGTAAATTCAATAATTTCAGCATGCAAACATATTACATGCTTACTTTAAAGCGTAAACCCAATAATTTCTCTATCCTTTTTTCTATCCTTCTCATAGTTCGCGCGAGCAATTTGGATCTTCCGGTTTCATATGCAATGTATGCTACAGAGATTCCAATTACGATTCCCAGTTAAGATAAAGGGATAAAATCTCTAAAATCAAGAAAGTGCTTGTCAAATGTTTTACGGTTACATAAGCTTACAACATTAGTGATGACATTGAGCTTCGATACAAGGATGTCCTCAACTACTCCCAATTCTGCATCTTCGTTCGTACTTTAGATGCTGTAAAAAAAAAATTCCTCACAAATATCATTTGGAGTATCGGAAGGGATGAGTGCACCCGAGTGTTGCGGAGGTTGAAAGAGATCGAGAATCTCTATCAACTTCAGGACCCATCCAAGGATGGAGTTGCTCGTAAGTTTCCGTCCGTTAGAATGAAATTGCACAAGTCTAGGCACTTTGCTCATCCTGCCGGCCGCAAAGAAAACGAATTGATATCATTCCAAATTCCAATCCCCACAAATTTTTTGGCGAAAACATACACATTTCATTCTTTGTGGCTCCATTTTTTCAGGGCCTTCGACATGGAACCCCACATCGTGCTGCTTGAGAAAGACGCAAACCGCCGCATGTCTCCTCACTGCAGAATTTGAGACTGAACCTGTATTCTTGTAGAGAAATAGAAAGGATTGAAGCAATTGTCTGGGAAAATCTTCCAGGATGAATGGCTAGCTTCTTTGGAGCTTTTCAGGTATTTACAAAGGAGTTCAGTTTTATTGCCTCATCCTTTGGAATTATACCATGTACCACCACATTAGATGCTGAATCTCTTGGGAAGGACGTAAGTTCATGAACGTCCAATGCACTGCAAGTCCCTGAACGTGATTATGATTGCTGTATTGCTAAAATAACTTGTTACGGTTAATAAAGCCAACTCAATTTGTCTTAAACTTTGTCTCTTCGGCCGAAATTACGACTAGCATATGATTTTCATTTATGCTTGAATAGCAAAGCTTCAATCCTGAGTCCTTCTGGCTTCATAGGCAAGTGTCAAGTCACAATCTCTATTTGACGGACAGATAGCACTACTTCATGATTAGGTCACAATTCATCAACCTGATCATCCGTTAACTACTGCATATAGCATCCTGTGCCTTCTCCCCCATAGCCTTATCTTGTTAATATTGTAAAGAGTATAAATCGAACATTTATTGGAGCTACAAAGATTGCCAGGTCTTTGCAAGTCGGGAGGCCCAAGCAGCTGTTTTCTTTCAATATCAGAAGGCTCAAGAAGAAACCAAAAGCGCCCAATGTGAGTAATTAATGATCTAAATTGGACGCTGAACCAACTTGTATGGATGCAATGCCTTCAGTAATTAAGAGTTGAGCAGCAGGCTCATCGTTTACAATCATTCTCACCCTGAATCTATCCAAACATGCCAACACACATGCTCAGATGTGTACATGCCCAAACATTCAATATGCTTATATCCTTACTAAGAAGAAATCAAAATAAGCAGTCTCCAACATTAAAATCTCATGCACTCTCTTCTACTGTCATCTGTCTCAAGTGAAGATCACTTCAAACAAAGGTCACAAGTCTCAAAACAAATACAACCAATAAGTTCAGGAGTTCTTAAAGCAACTTCACACCTGCTTCTCTCACAGAATCGATGACTGCCTTAACTTTGCCATGATACTTTTGTTCTCTTTTTAAGTGGATGGCAACAGCAGGGATGCCCTTGAGCAGCAGCCTCTCTCCCAGTATCTTTCCTATCTTCGCAGCGGCGGCCACGTCGCGTGTCGAGTCCATGCTCGGTCTCAAAGCCTTCTCCTGCGAGCTTGCTGAAGATGCGACAGTAGCAGTAGGGGAATGGATCACTTGGGCACTTACGAACTTGTTAGTGAAGTGCATCTTCAGAACATAAGGCTTGAGAAAGTTTATTATTCTCGGTGGCTTAGCTGGCGGTGGGATAACCATCTCCGAGTTGGGGAATCAATATAACAAACTTCGAATTGCTAGAACCAAAGCACCAAAGTCAGACAAAAGGGAAAATAAATGGAAAAATAGAATGTTCATCTTTTCCATTCCATCTTTATGTTAAGGCCCAGTATGTCGTTTCAGTTGTATAAAAGTCGCCTTTTTCATTACAAAAGAAGAGAAGTATAAACCACAGGCCTTTAAGCTTGTAGTATAGTAGACTGTAGATGGGTCCTTACTAATAGAATGATAATGGAAACAAGATCCCTGTAAATAAGTAACTTAGGGTGCGTTTATTTCACGGAAAACTCAAGATTCGGAAAATATTTTCCAAAAAATGATCGCTTGTATTCCTTACAAAAATAAATGAATGAGAAGTATTTCCATCAACTACGAAAATAGTTAGACATAAATTGTTGTCGATAATGAAAACATTTTTCGTTAACTAATTTTTCTAAGCGATATAACCAATCATCTTTTGGAAAATTTTCTACAATTCTTGAGTTTTCCGTGAAACAAACACACTCTCAGTTCCCACACCATTGCACTAGAACAACGAAAAGCATTAACAGCTGAGGAATACAATATCGACCCTGATTGCTGATAAAGTATCTCATGAAGCAGGAATACAACTGATTCATGTGATGATTAGAGAAAGCCATACTTGAACAAAACGATCGCATGTCATCATAGAAAACCGTCGTAACTCGTAACACAACTCAGTTTCGATTTGGTTTTTCCCCCATTCCACATTTCAACGGCATATCACGCATCAAACAAGCAAAGATAGTTTTCTTCTACATGTGTCTCCTCTTTCACAACTTTCATCAAACAGTCCGCGGGCAATTTCTGAAAGATAGTAACCGAGCAATCTAGAAAACAGTAAAAGAAAGTTTTAAGCCGCCAACCAAGAAAGAGACACACGAGTGAATCGAAATCACGAGAAACGGGGCAAAAAAACACAAATTTGTCCAAAATTTCCAGGGAATCAATCAGAAAATGCAGAACTAGCAAGTCTAACTCTGACCCACAATGCACATTCACTCAAAGACAAGAAAGCAGCAGCGACAGACCCTTTTGAGAGGAAGTATCACGCCGGCGAATGCACGGTCGAGCTGCCAAAATCCACCAACAACGTCTTCAGAGAGCGTGAGATGCGAAGAGCGAGAAGTTAGCGAAGAAGCTGAGCGACCATATAAAAAGACTCGGAAGCATATGGAGAGCTCCAGACGGGCGACCCGATATTTGAGATCCGACCTGACCCGACCCAAATTGACTGAGGAAAGTCAATATTTTGCAATTGACCGAATCGTTCAATACTATTGTGCTAAGTTTGTTTTATTTACTGTTCCAAATTATTTTTTTCATATTAGAAATGGATATATACAAACGAAACTTGAAAAGTATTTCAATTGATTTGACAATTTTAACTAATGTGATATCATCAGGGGTCAAATGTAAGCTTTTACATATTTTAAAATTACAAAAGAACATTGCAATGATCGCTAACACTCAATTCGACTAATGTTGTCGCGCATCGAGTCTATTTTAATAGTTAGGTCCACAATTTAATTTTAATATGTGTAGTTGTACTATAGCTACGTTAACTACATGAAGAGGTGATTATCAAGTAATTGTACAATTTTGCTAAAATTGTTCAAATTAACTTTCCTATTATTTTGTTAAGATTTTTATTTGTTCTTCTTATCTAAGAGAAGTGTAGATATAGATAAGTTCATAGTAGACATATATTATTTTAATCCTTCGGTAGTCTATTTATTATGATATGTGAAATAATGTAAAGTCGAATGGAACTTCATTCACGTAATAAATTTATATGTACTTTAAATATGAAAAATTGTAATATAAACGGATGATTAGGAGTTAAATTCATATTTTATATTGTAAAACACCATTTGCAATTACATATTACCATCTATATAAAGTCATCTGAATATACAATATATATATATATACTTTTTTTTCAAAAGTATATGTAAATAGGTGGGTTCCATTTTCTTTGCCGCCCGTTTTGTGTGGGGAAAATCCATCTGGTTTGGGTCGGGCCACCCGCACCCATCCATATGTTATTTAACTTATTTTTACTTTACATCATGGATTGACGCCATAATAAAACGAGCAAAAAGATTTTGATTCTCTAAATAATTCGCAAAAAGCGTGGCGTGACCTAATCCGTGAGACATCAAACACATATGATTTCTTTAACACTAGTGAGTTTTGTCCACCCCTCCATTGAACTCTCAGAAAAGACAAAACAAAAAAATTTCCGACAGTCTTTTCTCCCTCTAATTTTTAAATTGCTCTTCGAACAGCTCTTGGACCAAAAGCAAATCTATATCCGCAGTTGGCATGTGTACCATTGTGTATCTTGTATAACTATTCAAATGTGGCAGCTTGGACGCGATAGTATAATTTGGGGATAAGTGCGCTGGAAATCCTAAAATTTATTACGAAAATGCAATTGAGTCCTAAAATTTTCAAAAAAGTGTAATCAACGGAAAGATTTAATTGAATCAATTTGACAAGTTTTAGGACTTGATTGCACTTCCTTAATAAATTTTAGGGCATAATTGCACTTTTTGAAAGTTTTGGACCGAGTTGCAATTTTGTGACAAGTTTTAAGACTCCCGGTGTACTTATTCCTATAATTTATATGTAAATCGGACAACGGCCTCTTCTTAAATCTTCTTAAATCAATTCGCAACTCCGGACAATTCCTCCCACCATCACCACGATGTTTCTCCTTGTTCTCGGTGTCAACTCACCCGTTCGACCGGAAAGGACAAGAAAGAGAGCTTCTTTTCAAATGCACGAATTCGTCACATGAGTCTGCGTTTCAGAATTCATGTATGGGAAGCCAAGCGAAAAAGTGGAGTGACTTACGTGAACCATTCGATATCTCATGGGACTGATCAACTTATTCATTTCTTAATCTTTGTTGATCAACTTGTTCTCGGACGAATTGCAGTCAATTGGAGTTCAAGCACGTCTCTTCCTGAAGTTAACAAAAGAATTTTGAACGTGTGTAAGTCAAGCAATCACTCCTGAAGTTGGCTGCACGGGAGAAAAAAAGCAAAACGTGTTATTTTCCATATATCCTGGGGGACATGTTCTTCCTTTTTTTCTAATTTGTGAGCAATGCATGGAGATTGTTTCAATAGAGACAAAAGTAGGCAAAACTTTACGAAGAAGGACCTGAACGCAGACAAATAATGCCAGTAGCACTGTGAGTTTGATATGTCATTATGCTTTCGATTTATCGACGATGCCATAGACTTTATACATTCACGTTCCGAATTAATAAGTTTCCCATTTAATAAGTTTCTATGTTTGCGTTCCAACAATAAAATTTAGGCATATGGCTAGCCAAGGATTTAATTCCAAGTCTTGCAGATGAGGAAAATCAGATCTCACTTTGTGTATTAGGCTGAGATTACACTTGAATGATAAAAAGGCCAAAATAATAAGCATATAATTTGCCTCATGGCAGTTCAACAGAATTATTCATCATCTTACAATGCAAAAAATGAACAATCGAGATTCTCATATTTGACAAGATCTACGAGCATTCCTCCTCCACTTCTTTCTCATATTACCTCCTTTCCTGTCAAGCAATCGCGCGAGCCATCCAAATTTTCTGGATTCGAGAACGATGTATCCTAGAGAGACTCCAGCTATGATTCCACACCCATAACCCATCAATATGGCTCTCCACTCAAACCAGCCTCCATGCTCTGTATCATTTTCCTCGAGGATGGTTACTGGTGGAATTTCTGGTGAATTGTTTGCGCATGTCCCTAGCAATGGAAATCCGCATAATCCAGGATTCCCAACAAACGAGTCGCTCTTGAATGTGTTGAATTGCCTTCCCAGAGGAATAGGTCCGATGAGCTGATTCTCTGAGAGGTTCAAGAATTCAAGAGACGTCAAATCCGCTAGTTCTTGAGGAATCCTTCCGATGAACTTATTTGAAGAGAGGTCTAGCCATTCGAGTTCAGTCAAGTTCCCGGTAGACGGAGGGATATAGCCAATAAGATTGTTGTGGGACAAGTTTAGGCCTTTGAGTGACTTTAGGTTTCCTATATCCATTGGAAGCTCCCCACCAAAATGGTTGCTCGATAAGTCGATACTCGTGAAAACAGTTAGAATTTTCACCAACTGTATCTCCAGTCCTTTCATGATCACCGTGACTGAATCTTCATAACCATTTCCTCCCATATACTGCAGCTTGCTCTGTCCTTTATCCTGATACATCATGGCAGTGAACTTCATAATATATCTAACGGGTAAAGGACCGCTCAGATTGTTGTTGGATAGGTCGAAAATGCGCAATTCAGAAAATGGGCGGGCTGCTCTAGGACTACTCACGAAGCCGTGGAACATGTTGGACCTCAAAACAAGAACTTGTAGCTTGGGAAGGGTTCCCAACCAATCAGGGAACGTATCCTCCAATCCATTGTTGCCGAGATCCAAAACTTCCAACCATTCACAATGTAGTAAGGACCGTGGCAGTGTCCCTTCAAATTGATTCCGACTAAAGTCAATAGTCCTTAAAATGCTGCCCTCAGCAAATTTTCTAGGGATCACACCCTGAATCATGTTCATCCGGATGTTGAGCACCGAGAGATATTTGCTAAAGCTCATCAAGCACTCTGGCAAGGTGCCCATCAAACTATTGTTGGACAAATCAAGGACTATGAGCTCAGTGGCATTGCATATCAAAGGTGAAACCGTTCCACCAATCTTGTTGTTTGCAATGGAATAGAATTGAGTGGCGGGTGGTGGAATTGGAAGAGGACCTTCAAATCTGTTGTTGGATAGATCAACCTTCCACATATTCAAACAATGGAGAAAATATCCTTCGGGCCATCGACCCCCTAAATTATTGTTAGATATGGAAAAGCTATAAAGCTTGGAGGGAAGAAATGGAGCAGTTGGAGTATCGATTTGGCCATGGAATTCATTGAACTGCAGATCGA